AAGGGTCCGCTCGACTTGTTACATTAATAACGGCTAAATCGAGGTCTCTTTTAAAAAAATAGCAATTATACGACGCAGCACAGTTAAGGTTACAAAAAGGAGGCGGAGCCTAATTTGTACGGGAAAACTTGACTATGACATCATACACAATATACGTCATACAACATTTCTTTAAAATACCACAAAATGAGTTTATCTGCTAATTTAACCAGTAAGAAATCATCAAACTACATAAAAACTTACTACAGCGTGTTGTTTTGTCGTTAGTTAAATCCCACATAACAAGTTATAAACCAGTCACTGATCGCAATACCCTTGTCAATATGACGTCATTTGTTACAACGTGACGTAGTTTGTATGCAGTGAGAGACAGATCAAGTAACATTTTCTCAACAAAATATGCATTCTCTGATTAAATAAAATATTATTTACAGATATTCTATGGGGCAATAACTTGAATTTAATGTCTTCTTCACTTTTTTATTAATATATTTTCTGTACATTACGTATTTAATTGACACTGCCGTATATTTGTATGCAAGTACATCGGAGGGTAATGTGGGGGGTCTAAATAAATCGATCTAGTGCAAGGGCATACACTCTATGGATCAAAGTAAGCTTTTATATTTCAACTATAGAACTATCCAGGTATCTGAAAAGTGCTGCGATCCTGATGAAATCTTAAAAACAATTTAATTATATCAATAATTTATGCCGCTGACCAGCAAAAAATATAGCATTCGGTCATACAAGTATAATTTTAACAATGAAATTGCAGAATTTAGACAGGATCGCAGCACTTTTTAGAAACTATAATGCGTGTTGAAAATATTTATATACTAAACTTGGAAATTTATCTTGGTTATGCCCTTGCACTAGTGACATTTATATGTAACATCAATACTTCAAGTCAATGTGCTAAAATCGCGTGACTGCCACATCACGTGACTAGTCTAAATATAAAATATAATCGTCCTCGATATGTAGTTATTAATCATAATTACAATTATCTAGTATAAATAATGTACTAAAAATAATCGCCATCCCGATTACGAATACATTTTTAAATACAAAATTTAGTTGATATTTCCATTGCGCACCTTAACTGTGCTGCGGAGGGTTGTTCGAAAAGTTTGTGGACGATATCTTTCTTCGTTATATAACTAACTAAAAATTTAAATCAAGCACAATATAATATGTAAAAATATGTGTTTTGTTGATGTGTAAAGTTTCATTTCATTGCATTTAACAGAAATCAATTTACTTCATTTTACAATCAACATGTTTTGTACCCTCGGAGCAAACTTAACGGCAATGTAACGTCAAAACATAGCGTCAAGAATTCCTAAAAAATGCTATCCCTATACATTTTACACAATATAATCCAATGCTCACTCATTAAATCCTTATCCAATACTTGACATTTATTTTTTTAAAAATTGCTCTCGTTGTATTATTTCCTTTGTTAAAATTTTAATTTCTTTTTTTACTCTTTGCTTTCTGAGGATTCGCAACTCTGAAGCGCCCATGTCTTTCCTTGACGTTCCAAATTTTTAAAGTTTTAAACCGTAGCTTCACAGATTGCCTTCATCCGATACAGAGTCTCTGTTACTCAAATATACAACCTGTACTATTTGTACACAAATGCACAACTCGCTTGTGACATATTTTCTTGATTCCTCCAACATTTTTAGAGTTTTTCCTGAGTAAAACACAAAACTGCATCGTTATCGGCTGCTCCGTGACGTTCTAAAACGTCATCTTTTTGGTATACGAATCTATGTAACAATTCTTAATTAGAATTTCTAGGTTGTTTTTCGTTTTGCTCCATTTTACATGTACAGAGAATATGACTACTGACATTATATTGTGTATTGTCTGTAACTTACTCAATTTTGACCTGCTCCGCGATCCGATTTTTGCATTTTTTAAAATCTGGATAAATTTTGAATAAGTCGTAATATTTTGGAAAATTGAATACATATCATTCCATTCATTTGGATTTATTGTAACAATATTTCTACCAAATTTGGATAATATATGACTTCAGATAAAAAAAGATATGACAGTTGTCTACGAACTTTTCGAACAACCCTCGTATAATAGAAACACGTGGTAAAGCAGCTAGTCGGAGAAAGGAAAGGTAAGTTTCTGTACACGGTACAGGACAAACACCACCAAATCTTTTCCCAAAGAATTCCATACAAAGTTGAGCCCCTTTCACTGATACATGTATTCAATTTAAAGGTAAGTTTCTGAACAGGGTACAAGACAAACACCACCAAATGTTTTCCCTAGGACTTCCATACAAAGTTGAGCCTCTGTCACTGATACATGTATTCAATTTTGGACAAATTACTTTCTTGTTGTGAAAGGTCGAGATCTTAAAGCAAAACATGCCAGAAAAATATACCATGGCGCGGCACTTTTACTTTCAAATTCCATTTATTTTCAACTAGTTAGCTAAAGGTGCGTTCAGCACCAAATGAAAATCTCTAACCAAGTGGATTTCTCCCTTCAAATCTTTCGCAAAGGAGCCTGATTCTTGATATGAGATTTTTATCACCTTTATTTCACTTGTCAAATACATAAGTAGTCTTTTCTGTTAATGACCAATCATGTGCCAGGTAACATTTTTTTCTCCGCATACCTGTGTGTGTTCAAAATTTCACTGTGTTTGTTTATGTGGGAGCTTTTCTTACAGCTGAGGCGCGAATAAATAGACGTGTCTTCTTCAGGACCACTACACTGCCATAATAATTGTACACTACATTGTGGAAGTGTCCTTTGCAACGTCATAATTGCTGCTGCACGTGCATCAATCCTCCTGCGAATAATGTTTAAAATCCAGTGAATACGAATATGAACTTCGAATAGTAGTACGTCGCATTAGAAACCGTTTGAATTTGCATAGATTTTGCATGAACTCTGATGGTCCAGAGGGTCTGTTTTAGGCAGGGCAAATCTTCGTTGTTTTCGAAGCATGAAAAGAAACACGGATTCATGTCCACTACGAAATGTAAATAAATATGTTATATACATCACTCAACAATTCTTCATCCACGAAATCCTTTCCCCTTGAACCAAAAGTTTTCCTCAAACAACAAAAATTACCCCCAAGAAAAAATGACTTTTGTTCATATTTATATAATAGTGTTGCATTATGCATGTACTATGCCTAAATAGTAGGCAGGGTTTGACACATGGTGCACGAGCCGGAGGCGCGTGCACTATGTGTCAAACCCTGCCTACTATTTAGGCATAGTACATGCATAATGCAACACTATTGTTATTATTATGCTGACTGTTGTAATTCTTTATGCGGCAATCCGTTTGACTTTTTCCTGTAAATATCGGTGCTAACACAGCGCACTTGCAAGAACTCATTCAAAATCTTCATGCTAAAATATTGGTTGCATGCTTAGTTATTTTCTCTAAATAAGTTGAGATTTTCTGTGCCAAAGCAACTCATCTTTATTTTCAGTTTTGGTAGTAAGACTTATTTGTTTGCAGACGTCGATTCTCATTGATAATTTTTCTTTTACATCCTTCAATCAAGCGTCATATTAAAAAGCGTTTTAATGACCCTAAGAAATCAGTTCATCTAACGATCTGTATGTAATTAGTTTGAAACTTTGTTGTATACATTAATCTAAGGTTCCTTAGAATAATATAACTGTTTTCAAATAATATTTTTCTATTTTTTCTTCTTGTGTCAATTGTATAAATTAAGTTTATATATTTGATAAAATTCCTCTAATTAGTGATCGTCTCTGTGGCGTAATCGATAAGGCATCGGACTGACAATCTCATGGTCGTGAGTTCGATCCCCGGCGTGTGCAATAAAGAATTTTATTCAGTAATTAAACCCGTGCTCTATTTCGGCATAGTATGTTTACGCTATATAAATCCTTAGACCACTATGCGAGAATAGTAGGGTATGGGTTATATAGAGACAAACTGACAGGAAGCATAATAATACCTAATATGTTATCCAACTGCACATGTGTTATACAAAAACATATTGCCTCCTTTTAAAAGTTTGCATGTACATACATGTATACCTCTGAGAACATTATTTGCCTACATATCAAAATTGTATAATATCGCTCAAAATAAGGTCTTTCCTGTAGACTTTTCAGGGAGCTCGAAACTTGACGGTGCCTATTGCAAAAACCGCCAGTGTCCACAAATTATAACAACCCTTAAATTTCTAAAGTAAAACCTGGTAAATTCCTAATATTTTCATTCATGTTTCTAGATAAACGACCACCTGAAGTAACCACCTGCACATTTAACCCATACCCGATCACTGAAGGTCATACAGCTACTTTAGCCTGTTCATTGACTGCTGCTAACCCAAGGGAAAGCATAAAATGGAGCTGGGTCAAGTCAGACCAACCTGATAATGTCTTCGAAACAGGTTCTACTTACTCAATACCCAATATCAAGAGAGGGCAAGCAGGGAGGTATGAGTGCAGGGCTACCAACTCTATAGGGACATCTGAGCCAGTAACGATTGAAATAGATGTTCAGTGTAAGTACTGATAAAAGTAAGTTTCTTCTCTTTGTACAATAAATATTCATTTCACTGGTTTGCACTAGTATAAAACGTAGCTTTTGATGTTATTTGAGAAATAAATTACTTCATAGGTTGATCATTTTTCTAAGCTCTTAAAATTCATTTAAATACCAGATATCAGAATAATAATTATTTTACCTATTTTGAAAACGATTTATTGGCTTCAACTTTTCTTATTAATCCCCCATCCGCTTGAAAATTGGGAGGGTATACAGTAAACGGGATGTCCGTCCAGATATATGTACGTCCGTCCGTCCGGATGTTACGCTTTGGGGTACCTATCTCATCCGAAACTCTACTCATACCTGAATGAAATTTAATGAGATTTTCACAGAATCTTTATTACATATTGCCACTGTGCACCTCCTATTTTACTTTTTGTTCCAAGACATGTTTTGGGTTTCCCATAACAAAACATGGACATTGCCATTATATTCATATGGGAGGCGTGGGTATCATTTAGTGAGCTCATTGCTCATAGTACATCTAGTTTATGTATAAAACAAATCATCTATTATCAGCACAATGTATTTGCATCTCCAAAAGTATTATTATCCTCAGAACAAGCTCTGAGAACGATCAACATTGAAACAAAGGTAGGAAACTGACGAATAAATAGATGTCACATGAATGTCAACAACCTCATTTACAGTCTGCATTTCGTAAATTCTGTCGTAACAATTTTGTTAGCAAATAGAATACATCATTGGGTAGTATCTTTGCTGACTTTCCTCATACTAATTGTTTAGGATTTGATTTTAAACTTAACCTAACAACGAAATGTTTTGTCTTCCTGATCAATCTCAAATATTTTAACCCTCTGAATATACCCTAAGAAAATAATATAGTTAACTAAAGTGATAACTTTGACACTCTGAAAACTTCGATTTACTATAGTAATAACTTTGATTCTAATTGCTATGGTGAATTCTTTTACACTTTGATTTACTATAATGATAACTATGAAAACTTTGATTTACCATAGTGATAACTATGAAAACTTTGAATTATTATTGTAAAACCTTTGATTTAATGAAAAGATAACCTTGAAAACTTTGATTTACTTTAGTGATAACTATGACACTATAGTGAGCACTATTGAAAACTTTGATTCAGAATTGTATTCATTTTGTTAAAAAAAAATAATAAACTTTGATTTACTATGGTGGATACTTTGACACTTTGATTTACTCTAGTGATAACTATAAAACTTTAATTTACCATAGTGATCACTATGAAAACGTTAATTTACTATGGTGAAAACTTTGATTTAATATAAAGATATGAAAACTTTGATTTGCTGTAGTGATAACTATGACACTATACTGTGCACTTATGATAACTTTGATTCAGTATAGTGTTCATTTTGACAAAATAGTGCATACCATGATCACTTTGATTTACTGTAATGATCAATTTTCACTATATCAATTTGAAAACTATGATATACTAATAGTGATTACTTTTATACTTTGATTTACTATAATAGTTAACTAAGTTTTGCAATAGTTAATTATAGTTAACTATAATATTACTTGTTAGGGATACAATGCATTGCGCTTAAATCATCCTTTAGATCTATTGTTTATTTCGTGTGCATCTTTAAGAACATCTAAATAATATTGAGTTATTCAGTGCAGGACTTAACAAACAAGAATGACAGTTCTCTAAATAAAATAATCACTAAGTGACATCCATCTAAGTTGTAGAAATATTTCGGATGTATATGTTCAAAAAGTAACTAGTATATTGAAAATCATACTAGCGGTTCGCTTTACACAGTTTCCTAAGGCTTTAATTAAGTTGCCAGATTTGGTCTTTATAATTTTTTGTCCCTTTTATTTCATATTTGCAATGTACATTATGTTATTTAAATTTCTACATGAATTTTTTGTTTATTTATCATAATTTCATTTATGTTTCCAGATAAACCTGAAGTAACCAGCACCACATCAAACCCATACCCGATAACAGAAGGTCATACAGCTACTTTAGCCTGTTCATTGACTGCTGCTAACCCAAGGGAAAGCATTAACTGGAGCTGGGTCAAGTCAGACGAACCTGATAATGTCCTCAAAACAGGTTCTACTTACTCAATACCCAATATCAAGAGAGGGCAATCAGGGAGGTATGAGTGCAGGGCTACCAACTCCATAGGGACATCTGAGCCAGTAACGATTGAAATAGATGTTCAATGTAAGTACTGATAAAAGTACGGTTCCTCTATTGACATCATCAAACTCCTGCCTTTGATTGATATACACTACCACACATGTTATTGAATTTTGAATAGCATTGAAATTGGTGTCTTTGTTGATAAACACTACATCTTGAAATAATCTATTCTGACTTGTTAACAGTAGTTGCCGGAGTAGCTCATTGATTTGAATGCAATGTTCAATTTACATTAACTTCATATGCAAGAAATACCCAAACATTTCTAATGAAAATTTATCAATATACATGTATAAGTGGAAATCTGCAAAAGGTCTTAAGACACAGATCTGATATTAATATTTTTTCAAACTCTCAATATATTTTCATGACTGATATGTTGATTTAGCATTTCATTTCATAATTCATCGAAGCTTCGAACTCTAGAGGCGCTTAAATCCCCACATTCCCACACTTTCATAAATTTTAACTTTAACAGTTTTACTTAAGAAAATTGATAATTTTCTTGCATATTAGTGAAAAATATTAAATCTTTAATCCAGAAAATTTAGAATAGATATGTGCGAAATCAAACTAAATCACTGTAATGTCAGACCATGCTCAATGTTGTGTACAGAGTTTAACAAATTAAATACATTCCTGAAACGTACACATTTTTTTAAACAGGACACTAGCTCTGTTATTGTTAATGTTTACGTTTCACCGAGTTTGTTCAATTCTTCAACTCTGCACACACCACTGGTTACGGACTCGTAGACCTGAGGTGTTGGTTTTGTTCTGGTCATTTCTACTAAGATTTTCTGGAGTATGGATTAAAATGTTTTTCATTAATACACAACAATATTGCTCCTTTCTTAGGTTTGAAGGATAAAAATAAATTTGCAAAGGTGTAATGATATGTCAATCGAACAACTCTGGAAATTTGAGGTTTCAATAACTTTTTAAAATTATTATAATTTCGAATGAAATGCCATATCAACATGCAAGTTTTGAAATTATGCAGAAAACTTGAGAAAATGTTAACATCAAATCTTCTTCTAAGCACCTTTAGTCATTAAATATATATATATATATTGTAATTTTTTGTCTTGAGTTACAGATCTATGCATATAAATATCCATTGCCGAATGTATAATATGCAAAGACCCTTTCATTTTTTATTTTAAGATCTGGCAGATGTTTGTTATTTTGTTAAAAAGGCGATTTTCTTTGGTTTTATCTAATATGCTATCAGAAAGAATAATGTTTGAGAAAAACATATAAACATTAAATGAGAGTGCGTAAATGTCATTAACTTTTTTAAAAGATTGTTTTTCTTTCTTAATACCTAGGTGACCCAGATAAATGATTTTATTAAGTTGCGGATAAGATTTACCCAAAGAAACCTACAGTTTGATTATTGAGTAATTAAATTATCTCTAGTTTGTAGTTTTCATTATGTCTTAAACTTAAATAAGTATCATACATTTTAATGAATCATGATTTATGTTCTAAAATTCAAAGCTTATAATGTGCGTTTTTAGATATTCGAGTAAACCTCAAAACAACACCTTAACAATATCACCTTGCTCAGTAAGGATAAATTCAATATTTGTATCTTTTATTCATGTTTTCAGATAAACCTGAGGTTTGTTCTACATGTACCACTCAAGGCTCATACAAGATTATAGAAGGTCAGACAGCGACTTTTATTTGCAAGTTGATAGCTGCCAATCCAAACACAGGCGTCACATGGAGATGGTTCAAAGCAGATCTGCCCAGTAATATCCTACATAGCGGACCTACTTTCACTCTGCCAAATATTCAAAGAGAACAGTCAGGGACTTACTGGTGTACAGCTTCTAACATCATTGGTATATCTTATCCAGTTACAATACATGTAGCTGTGCAAGGTGAGTTTTGAAGTCCTTTTGGACACCAACATTTTAGAAAAGAAAACAAATACATAGGTAGCGACATTTTCGTAGAAACGAAGGGATTCTTTAGTTTTCTGTTTGCGTATAAAATGGTATAGTGCATTTTCCCCTTTCATATTATTTCACATAATTCATACTTTTTGATTGCATCAAACGTTTTACATGTATACATGTACGAGGTAAGAAATCAAAATAATTCCTTTACAATTCAAGCATAATTAAAAAGTTCATCTTGGAGACAAAAAATAGACAAGAAGACATGGGTTTTACGTGTAAATCTGTGGTACATTTATAATCAGTATGAGTGTTCTCTCTAACTCATCAATGCAATTCAGTCACTTTATGACATATACATTTCAATACATTTACAAAGACGTTAATGATAATCTAACAACCAAGCTCTATGATGAACGTGATGACTTAAATATTTCTCTTCTATCGTCAATTTCCCTTACCTCTTCAACAATATAACTTCATCACCTGTATACGGGGTTTAGGTATAGATCTCAGTTGATTCAATGCGTAAGAGCATGCTCTACGTTTGAACAATTTCTAAAACGTAGTAAATTACTGACAAACAAGTTGATGAAACAAGAATATCAGAAGTCTTGTTCTCAGTCATCATTTCGTAATTTTTGAGGTCCGTGTTTGCTCTGCTCCTGTTATGTATTGTTTTAAGGACTTTCAATCTTGAATATTGTGTGTTATCTCCATATGTTTCATATTATGGTCAATACAATAACATTGTCAGAAAAAAACAATGTATTATTGAGTCAAATGCTGACTGACATTTTTTCATACTTATTGTTAGTCCATTATTTATACACTGAATTGACGACATATTTTCCCATTATTTCGCGATCATGACAAGGACGCAGTACAGTTACGCTATTAATGGAAAGATCGGCGATTTTTTAAGGTAAAAAATACATACTTTATAAGGATGGGCGATTCTTTTTAGGACTTCTTTGATATAAAAAAAAAATAAAATGTGGATCAAATCAACATTCTGAGGACATTTAGATTTTTTAAAACTTTTCATGTGATGTCGAAGTCACACGATTGTAGCAATTATACTTGCAGTTTAGAGGTCATCTATAAATTTCAATATTGTAAGTTAAAAATCTTAGTTTAATTTATAATTCTTTACAACACTATATGTAGTTTGCGAAAAGTACTGCGATATACTACATATATAGATTCCCTTATTTAATTGCTAGAATTTGATTTGTTGGACGACAGGCTGAATATTTTGCTGGTCAACTACATTAAATATAGCTATAATTAATTTATTTGCAAGATTTCATGAAGTTCGCAGCATTTTTCAAATATTATAATGCTTCTTGAGTTTATGAATAAAAACTTGGCGAGGTACATTGAGGGTATGCCCATGCAAAAATTTAAAATCGATTTATTATGGCCCTTTGATTACTTTTTCAATAAATCTACATACAAACATTGACAGTATCAATTGTCCGGAGAATGTACGGACATTATAAAAATAGAAATAGCCTCTCACTGTGTACAAATTGCGTAATATTTTTGCGAGATGACGTCACAGTGACAAGTGCATTGCGATCGATGAATCGTTTGAATATCGTTGTGTGAGATTTAACAAACAACAAACCTGCATGTAATAGTATTTAAGTAGTCTACAGCTATCCAGCAGTTTAAAATAGCAAATAATTTCATTTTGTGGTATTTTGAAGACCTTATATAATGTGTGACATCATAGTAAACATTTCCCGTATAAATAAGGCCCCGACTCCTTACTGTAACCTTAACTGTGTTGCGGAGCGCACGGCGGGTGTGACCGGTCGGCAGGGAATGCTATCTCCTCCATGGCACCTGATCCCACCTCTGATGTTTTTGAGGTCGATCCGGGTTTGCCTTGCTCTTATTTTTTTGTATTGTTTTATGGCCTTTTGATCTTGAATACTGTTCCTTATCTCCATATATTTCATTTAGAGACCTTTCGTTTCCTTTTTTTTTAAGAATTTTAATTTTTTATCTAGCAATTTCAGGGTTTATTATGTCGCCCCGAACGAAGTCGGGCGACATATTGCGATTATACGCATGTTTTTGTTCTCCAGGCTGTTTCTCGTAGATGGCTGGGACAATCTTCCTGAAACTTTCCTCAAAGGAGGATCACTGGTTGTAATTGTGTTGTGTGGTCATTCATTTACAAAATGGCTACCGTTGCCATGGAAACCTGCAAAAAGCGACGAATTTTGTCCGCCAGTGTTCTATCTGGTCCCTTGAACATTCTTCATGAAATTTTATTTATGTAATGATTAGTATCTGTAATTATGCTCATTGGATTTAAAAGTTGCAAATAGTCAACAGTTTCCATGGAAACAGGGGAAAAGTGAAAAATCTTTAACTTTGATTTTTAAATCAAAGTACTGAATGGACTGATAAGAGTTGATGGTTGTCCAAGCTAAGCTAATGGGTATTGTTTTAGTGAAGAAAAATGAAAGTTTTGTCCAGTTCGGGGCGACATACGCTATTGCTTTCAATAGCAGACTTTCTAGTTATGTTTTTTATTTCTAAAAACTTAAATATATTTTCAATAGCTTTATTTCTGAATGTACCAGGGCTCGAGCTGTGATTCGCCATTGTCGCCAATTGCGAATTTTTTTCAAAAGTGGCGAAAAGAAATTCATAAGTGGCGAAAATGAATTTTTTAGATGTACCATGTACAAAATTTGTGTAGTCCTGGTTAGCTCCTTTGTTTATTTAATGTACACAGATAAGTCCCATTGTTTACTTAATGCAGCAGAGGTGTGAAAACTGAAACCTACATGTAGGAAATCACGTCTCGCTTGAACGAACACAGCTGACTAGGTAACTAGCCTGGAGCAATAAAGGGTTACATAATTGCTTGAAATAATATAATTAAACAATTGGATTAAACAAGGGGGAATAAAGTGTTATTGGGAGATGAAGTTAGTAAATAAAAGATTTTTATCAACAAAATCTGGATCTATGAAGATCGTTTTTTTTAAACCGAAAGTAGGGAAACATGACGAAAATGGTAAAGAATGGCTTCAAATTTTACCTACTGAAAATTGAAAAATGTGTACATTAATTTACCATTAACTGACAAAGAGTGAAAAAGAAATTAGTTGGGAAACAGAATTATCTTTAGTTAGTAATTTACACTGAATTATTTACAATAACATGAGCTTGCATATTAAACCCTGGAGTCTCAAGTTGTTAAAATAAAGTCAAGTTTCAAACCTAATTTTCATTACTTATTAATTTATTTCTTTTCAAAATGAATTAATGAAATGATGAAAATTTCCATTTTTAGAAAATATCATATTTTTACTAGGTCTGTAGCAACCCCCCCCCCTCCCCTCCTTCCCAGGCGAAAAAAAATAATCAAGAAGACATTTTCTGTCAAGAGTTGGCTGATAGCAATACAATATTAAATTAATTATGTAATTCCAACATTATTTTTTTCTTTTTTTAAATGGATACTACCATAAGCTTTAAATATTACAATTTTAAAACAATGTCTGTGTCAGATAAACATAATAAAAAAACTTAATAACAAAAAGTGCATTGCATTGTCGAGAAATCAGATGTAAGTATGCCTTTCCTTAAAGCTTGTGTCGCGAAAAGTGGCGAAAAATATTTTCGGTCTAGTGGGAGCCCTGGAATGTACACATACTAGCAAAGAGATGACAAAATCAAAATTTGTGACACCGTAAGGAGTTCGAATTCGAGTCCCCATTGGAGGATTTTCAATCTTTTTCAAGTCTTAAATGGCATTTCTCTGTTTGAGGACATGTAAGGTAGTTTTGCATTTTAAAAATAATTTCAATCAGTGTTTCTGAATAAACCTTTCATAATCTTTGTTGAAAGACTATCGAACATAAACTTATACGAAAGTTACATTCAAGTATAAAAGATACATGAAAAATATGGAGATAACGAACAGTATTTAGTATCAAAGTCGATAAAACAATACAAAATAGGAGCAGAGGAAACATGGACCTCCGGAACATCAGAGGTGGTATCAGGTGCCATGGAGGAGTGAGCATCCCCTGCTGACCTGTCACATCTGCCCTGTGCTCCATGTCATGATCGGGAGATAACGGAAAAATCCGTCGCCAATTCAAAGTATAAATTATGGACTAAGAATTAGTATGAAAAACGTCAGTCAGCATTTGACTTAATGATTGTATCGACTATAGAACGTACAAAGTGATGACGTTAAACAAAATTAATGGGGTAATCAAGCATACTCCACTGAAGAAAAGTTAATCTGAAAAGCGCTAGCTGCCCTAGCATTAGGAAAAGTGTCTAGCTATTATTTCTTTTTGTCGTTGTAAACATTGTAAAGTTTCTATTATTACAAATATATTACATAATGTCTTTTTCTTCAGATATTCCTGCAATTACTATTCAAGGATACTTGGAAGTTGTATGTGGAGAAACAGCATGTATTAAAGCGGAGATACAACAAGAGCACAGCTGGTCAACGACTTGGTACAGAGTGACCGGTGGCACTTTAAAACAGATTGATTCAGATACAAACAAATATGCCAAAACCACCAATAGAAAACTGGTAATACAGAGAGTATCGAAAGATGACCAGGGCGAATACCAGGCCATTATAACAGGAAACCCATTTGGACAGTATTTGAAGGTTTCAAGCGAAGTGTTTACATTAAAGATACTAGGAGGTATTGTTTTCTCGACATCGATATATAAAGAAAAATGTTAATTTATGAAATTAAGTAAAAATATTGGTCATTTTATTTACTAGTTTAAGTTAGTTCTTATTTACTTACATAATGAATAGATAAAAAGAACTAAGTCTTAAGATTATATTAGAGTTTCTAATTTGTTGTGTCAATTTATTTTAATTTTTAAAAAAAAGAATTAAAGTCGAAGTAAACGTTGAATTATGTATATTTTTATCTGGTGTTGCAAAAATCATGCTGCATGACAGACACCCCTTTTTAATGTCAAAACTCTTCAAATCACAGAGCGACCAATTCTTCAAAAGTTAGAAGCTTCACTGCAAAGAGAGGGAATAAGCTTTCATTACGAGTATGAAGTTTTACAAGGATCTCCGAAGGCTAACTGCATTACTTGGACAAGAAATGGCGAAACTCTCATCATAGATCATGATAAGTACATTGGTGGGGATATAAAAAACAACTCTCTGACAATAAAATTCCCCACAATGCAGGATATTGGAAAATACACGTGTACTATCAGTAACGCAGTTGGTGCTGTATCAAAGTCGCTAATTATAGGTTAGTCACGTATATAAATATATATATATATATATATATATATATATATATATATATATATATATATATAAAGCACAAATTACAACAACTCTTAAACTAATATAACTGCCCTAAGTGAAGGAATATTAATATAGAAAGCACAGAGAAATTCACTTTTACAAGGATACTCACTTCCGCCCCAGCCCGGGGTTGAACTCGCGACCTACGGAATCTGTCTCCTAGTCCTAGCAGTATAGGAACAGCGCGTTAGACCGCTCGGCTATCTAGGCAAGTCATTTAAACTTGCTTTCGATGCCGATGGAATTCTCACAACGCTGCCCTACACTACACGGTCATTGAGAATGGAAGTGAGATACAGTTATTTGGACATTAGTTCAACCCCGGGCTGGGGCGGAAGTGAGTATTCCTGTAAAAGTGAATTTCTCTGTGCTTTCTATATTAATATTCCTTCACTTAGGGCAGTTATATTAGTTTAAGAGTTGTTGTAATTTGTGCTTTATAAATAAAATTAATTTCATCACAACATGTATTGGTAACAATCCTCTAAAAACTAATGTCCAAATAACTGTATCTCACTTCCATTCTCAATGACCGTGTAGTGTAGGGCAGCGTTGTGAGAATTCCATCGGCATCGAAAGCAAGTTTATTAACTTGCCTAGATAGCCGAGCGGTCTAACGCGCTGTTCCTATACTGCTAGGAGACAGATTCCGTAGGTCGCGAGTTCAACCCCGGGCTGGGGCGGAAGTGAGTATCCTTGTAAAAGTGAATTTCTCTGTGCTTTCTATATATATATATATATATATATATATATATTTGAAATATGAAATTTTATTCTCGAAGTCTTCCATGAACTTAATTTTTAAACACGTAAATTATTACTTATGACAGAGTTGCTGATGCTTTAAAAAAAAAGAGCTGAGAAAATTAATTTACTTGCATTTAACCACCATTTTGTTACATATTGAGAGCATTTTCGGTCTTGGTTATCTTTGTATTCAATCTATATGGAGAAGCCTGACAATTTAACTTTCTAAGAATTAATAATTTTTTTAAGGATTGGAATTTCACAAGTATTTTTCTATGTTAGAATTTTAATTATGTTTGTATGTAATTATTCTAAGGAGTATTCTTACAGTTTATAATAGTAATTCTGAAGTGTTTTTTGTAATTCATCGCACCAATGTGTTTCCCAGAGCACTTTACAATATATTGAGCGTGTGCGCCCATTTCAGTAAAAGTGTCTCAAACACAAGCAAGATAAAATTTAAAGGAAAAAAAAACATAAAAATGTTCCTAGTCTTTATCAAAGTATAGCGTAATATTTTCAGAAAAAGTTGGTTGGTGTTTGCATCAAAACTTAATTTCTTTTCATAATGAAGACTCACTATATGCAGATCATAAAGATCTAAATATATCGTGTTTTTCTAAGGCAATGACCATTTTGGCCAAACCTGTAAATAGAACTAGACTCATATTCATGTCATAAAAAAATAAGACAATTATCAATTTCGTGCATCTGGTTACCTAGAGGACCAGAAATAAAGAATAAGTTTTACTGATAAATTCAGGCATGTTGTATCGTTTTTAAATTAGAAAAAGAAAAATTGTAAAAATCCGAAATCCTATTCCTTCAGTAGTGGTGGGTACTCGCTTGCGTTTACATTTTCAACTTTGAAGTGTGGCGTCTAGGTAAAGAAATTTTGCTTTTCGTAAGCCTGTTAGTCGCCTGTGAGAAATACCCAGTAAATTAACAAAGATTAAGATGAAAGGTCTAATTTGAAGTTATTTGCGAAGAGTCAATCGACCTCTCAATGTACATTTTCCAATAAAATATGACAAACTTAGTCCCATCTTTAAATCGATGGGTTCTTGAAGAACGTTGGCTTCTTGTCCATTTATATTAATTATTAGTAGATGGGTTATAGTTAATTATAATCATACAAATTCTACCTCATAAATATCAAAGGCCAGAAAGAAAGTTTTTTTTCAAATATGTACTAATTTCGGGTAAGACAATATACTCGAACAATTTAAGCCTTTCTTTCAGTACTTTCAGGTTTTTGAATATTATAAACGGGCATGAAATAATTATTTATAAGGACCTCTTGCACTTTCAGTTTTTTAAAGTGTCATTAATATTCATGAAAGTTTTCTTTTATTTTTAGATGAGGACCTTTTAATTGGAAGGTACTACTCATCCTATCAATCGATTTTCATATTGTACACTGATTACTCTTTTTATTTTACAACCCAACTAAAATAATATTTACATTAAGAGATAAATAATTCTCGTATTAAATATATTTTAACTTCTTAAATAAATCATGAACAGCCATGTCAATTGTGTAAAATTTAATTACAGTAAAACTCGTTTACTACGAACACGGATAAAGCGAATTCACGGATATAGCGAAGTTTCTTGGGGTCCCCGGCAAAACTCTTAACAATTCTTTGTAGTATTTTACGGTTATAACGAACTCAGATATAGCGAATCTACGGATATAGCGAACTAATTTTGAATCCCGTAGAGGTTAAAAATAATGAAATTTACATGTTTTATAACGAATTTTTTAAAAATCTGAACGGTAGACATATTGACCTGACTTTAATTTTAGTAAGTATTTTCAAATGAAATTCAATTTGTAATGAAAACTTCAATTAGTCACGGTATGCCTTTTAATAATTGTTTCCCTACAATATTCGGTTGTAATCATTGAAGGAAAACGTGCATATCGCGAGTTCGCTGTAGACACTTACACGAATTCGTTATACGGATACAACGAATTACGGATATAGCGAATTAAATTCACAGGTCCCCAGGACTTCGCTATAACCGAGTTTTACTGTATAAAAATGAAATAAGGTCTGAGTTTATTTCTTCATAGATGGGCAAGCAACTTGAAATTGGCTAATGTCGGAAAATGGAACAACTTGGTCGGTTCACCACCAACTTCAGATTTAGAAAGTATTAAGAAAGCTTTAAATAACAGTGATCCTCCTCAGGAAGTAACAGAAAAACTCATGGAGAACTCCACTGAACGTAATTGGCCAACTGGACTTCATACTCGTCAAAAAAGGGAAGAAAATTCAGAATTGTTTGAGCGATTCAAAACAAGGAAAATAAAAGGTATTATGTAAGTCAAGAACGATAACCGTCATTTGCTATAAATACTCCAAATAAACAAAGTGCTATTGCTTCTGACCAATCAAATATATAACGTCATGTAGACAAACAAATATGAAAAAATGACAAAAACAGGTGGTTTCAAACATTTAGCTAGAAGAATTTTTGGGAAAAAAATGTATCATTTGTAAACTATATGCATATTTAGGAGTAGATAAAGTATAATAAACAATTCTACCATGAACAGACAAAACTTAAACGGCTTTGAATAAAGTTTGGGTTGGATTAATACCTTTCACTACGATATAGCAATCCCAAACGGCATGGGTATTTCTGATATACCGTGGTATATATAAATTTTTATTGTTTTCTAAAATTGCATCAAATCAATCTAGCTTTTGGAATGCGTGGTAAAGATTTTATCCATTTAAAATAGAAATGTATAATTATTCATCGTTGAATTTCAGGCAAGCAGGCCGTGGTTATTTTGTTCTTTGAAAATAAGCATATGCCAGAAGATCTGATAAAGAAGCCAGGAATCGTCATCACATTTTGTGGAGGAGTGAAATAAATGGTACATTACATGATTGAAGAAAGCTCACAGTTTAATCTAGATGTATTACATCACAACTTATAATGCAGATGTCAACTATTCGGAATTAGAAGTCATAAATATTTTTTTCTGTGAATATTTTTTTCCTTCTGATTTTATTTTTCAAATTTGTAATTAATAAAATTTCTTATATTTTATTCCCAAGTGATGGGAATCTTACTTCAGACTTGTACATGTACACAAAATGAAAATACTGCATAATATTAAAATCTAAGTAAAAAATATTTCATATAAAAATCCACTTGCAAGAGTCACTTTTCCAAATTCCCAAAGACCCAAAACACAAAAGAATGTTTGAACATCTAAAATTCAGAATAAAGCTTTCAATTTCCTGCGTATATATTAAAAATAATAAAAATAAAAACCATCACAAATACAGTACGAGGGCTGTTCGCAAATTATTGAGACATTTACTTTTACTCCGTAAAGGGCGGAGATAAATTCCTGAAAATTCGTCAACATTTTATAAAGAACGTTTAAAACAATTATACAAATTTTTTATTCATAGGATAATTAGATAAGTTCCGGTGAATTATGAACATGCGTATGTCTATCGACTTGGAGCAGCATCGCAACGTCAATTCAACGTCACATATCAGCCGGAGATGTTTTCGCATGTGAATCGATCGGGAAGCGTTTCCTCTTCTCTGTTTGTTATCATATATAACATTACAAAAATCAACCTGTCTCCTTTTAAAACTATTCTTTTTAAATATATGTGCTGTTGGTACTGTTGTGAGATGTGTATTGTTTCATTATGTATATAATTAGTAACATTAAGTTTCTTGAACATTCCAGAGTGGTCAGTCAACATGTTTGGTCATTTGATCTAGAACATTCTTAAATTTTGTGTATGTCCAGATTGTTCCAGTAATATCATGTTTTAACAATTTCTAGAATATTCTAGATTTATGATACTATATAAATACCCTGTCAATTCGATGCATATACAATACTTTGTCGTATAAGCACTATTGAGATATAACTGGGATATATATTTTCACTGGGACATTGTGTGCAGATACGGACACTTTGATGTATGTATTTTTAGATTCTTGCTAAGTTTGTACTTTAGGTTTGATATATTTATTATATATTACTGTAAATAAATTATTGTTAAGTTCAAATTGTGTTATTGATCTTTGCTGGCATTTCGGGTAATTCTGACCCATAACAGAATTGGGGGCTCGTCCGGGATAAAGAATTTCTTGCACTTTTGCAGTTTATTGTCAGAATTTTGTTTATTGAACCGCAAATTTGATTATAAGCCAGCAGAAATCAACATGGTGTTTTCGGTCACAGACTTTCTTAGTTCACCAAGTGTTCAGGTTTTTGATACGTTAAAAAAGGATGACTTGATCGCATTAGGTTTGCATTTTGGGTTAGATATTAAATCCTCTCAGAGAAAGCAAGACATTAGAATTAAGGTTGCAAACAAACTAGTAGAAGAAAACGTCTTTGGAAAATACGATCGTCCAGAATATACAGTTAAATCAGAGTTAGGCTCTTATAAAATGGCAGAATATCAGTTTCAAGTAGAGTTAGAGAAAATGCGATTAGAAAGAGAAAAATTAGAAAGAGAAGAACGAGAGCGTGAACGAAAATTTGAATTAGACAAATTAGCAGCAGAAAGAGAAGAGCGAGAAAGAGACCGTGCAATGAACTTTGAATTAGAGAAATTAAAATTACAAAACCAACCAGAACCGTCAGTTGTCAAAACTGAATTTGACGCAGCAAAAAATATCAGATTAGTTCCAAAATTTGAAGAAAAATCTGTAGACAAATATTTTCCCCAATTTGAAAAGGTCGCAGAGAATCTTAAATGGCCACGAAATGTTTGGTCAACAATGTTACAAAGTGTACTGGCTGGAAAAGCGGCTGAGGTATACTCTGCACTAGGGGTAGTTGAGAGTTCAGATTATGAGAAGGTCAAAGCAGCAATATTAAAAGCATATGAATTAGTACCTGAAGCGTATAGACAAAAGTTCAGAAAATATAGTTTGATAATCAAACATTTGTTGAATTTTCACGAGAGAAAGAAGATTTATTCGATCACTGGTTTAGATCTAAGAAACTTGATAAAACTTTTGCTAATTTGCGCCAAGTCATCCTGGTAGAAGAGTTTAAGGAATGTGTTCCTCAAGATTTGAAAACACATTTAGAAGATAAGAATGTGAAAACTCTTGAAGAGGCAGCAGTCATATCTGATACTTATGCTCTGTCTCATAAAAAGAATTTTGTTTCAAGATCTCAGACTAGCAGTAATTCTACCAATTCAGACACATATAAAAAGAGTGGTTCAGGGTCTCAGTCTTTCACAAGTTCCCAGTCTCCATCCCAAGGTGGTTTTAAGTCCGGTTCAGGACGTGTTGAAGGATCGTCTGGAATAGGGTCGCTTCCTACTTGTAGTTATTGTAAGAAAAAGGGTCATCTGATCAGTGAATGCTTTCAACTTAAGAGAAAAAAATGATTTTGATAAAACTCAACCACATGCTTGTGCGGCAGTTAGAGGTGATAGAGAAGCCTTAGTTTCGATTTGTTCTGACACTCCTGATGTCCAGGGTTCACAGTCCAGTTCTATTGATTCTATGGAGGATTATAAGCCCTTTATGTCTCAGGGATTTGTTTCACTTGGTGACTCTAGCGAAATAAAACCTGTCCAGATTTTGAGAGATACTGGTGCTGCACAGACGTTATTGTTAGAGGGCGTGCTTCCTTTGTCTGAGCAGACTTCTACTGGTGGGTCAGTTTTATTACAGGGTGTGGAGCTAGGCGTCATTGATGTTCCCCTGCATAGAATTAGTTTGAAGTCAGATTTAGTCACTGGACCTGTTATCGTAGGTGTTCGACCTACTCTTCCAGTTCCAGGCATTTCTTTGTTGTTAGGCAACGATCTAGCTGGTGGAAAAGTTGTACCAGATCCTATAGTTTGTGAGAAGATCACTCCAGATGTCATGTATAATGATGAAGATGATGACATTTATCCAGCCTGTGCTGTTACTAGAGCGATGGCCAGAAGACGAGAAATGGAGGCAGACCATACTCAAGTCTTTGACGAGACGAATTCCTCTGTTGATATTGATTTGAATGACACTTTCTTATCTGACCTTAATGGCACTCAAACAAACATGGAACCACACAATATCAAGAAGCAAGAGAAGAAAGAACTGTTACCAAAATTTGGTGGTGAGGATGATGAGTTGCATCCACTAGTTAGCAAAGGCAAGGACATCCTCAGCCGAGAACGTTTACTCTCTGAACAACATAAAGACCCAGATATCATTCAACTTAGTAAGAGGGCACTTCCACCAGAAGAGGCTACTAAAGTTGGAGAATGCTTCTATATGAAAGATGGCATCCTTATGCGAAAATGGCGACCACCTGATGCTTCTCCAGATGAAGTGTGGCGTGTTGTTCACCAGATAGTGGTCCCAGCTGCTTATCGTCGAGATGTCATGAGTTTAGCTCACGATACACCTATGGCTGGTCATTTAGGTATCAATGAGACTTATAATAGGATTTTGAGTCATTTTTATTGGCCTAAGCTAAGAAAGGATGTTTCGAAGTTTTGCAAGTCATGCCATGTCTGTCAGATGGTAGGTAAACCAAATCAGAAGATACCATCTGCTCCTCTCCAACCCATTCCAGCTTTTGAAGAACCGTTTAGTCGAGTATTAGTGGATTGTGTAGGACCTTTGCCTAGGACCAGATCTGGAAACCAGTATTTACTTACCATTATGTGTACATCCACTCGATTTCCTGAAGCCATACCTCTAAGGAATATAAAGGCAAAGAGCATAGTTAAGGCCCTAACCAAGTTTTTCAGTTTTGTAGGAGCACCCAAGGCAATTCAGTCGGATCAAGGCTCAAATTTTATGTCGGGGTTGTTCCAGCAAGTCATGCATGAGTTGGGTATAAGGCAATATAGATCAACTGCTTATCATCCTGAGTCCCAGGGGGCGCTAGAACGTTTTCACCAGACCTTAAAAACAATGCTGAAGACCTATTGTTATCAGTATGAGAAAGACTGGGATGAAGGGGTTCATCTTGTGCTATTTGCTGCACGAGAAGCAGTCCAGGAGTCTCTTGGGTTCAGTCCTTTTGAATTGGTGTTCGGTCATACAGTTAGAGGTCCTTTGAAAATGTTGAAGGAAAAGTGGCTGACTGAGACTAGTGATCTTAATCTTTTAGATTATGTGTCTGATTTCAAAGAAAAACTTTACAATGCTTGTAAATTAGCACAAGAAAATTTGAAGAGTTCTCAGATGAAAATGAAAATGTGGTATGACAAAGATGCCAGAAATAGGGTGTTTAAACCAGGTGATAAGGTTCTTGTATTTTTACCTATTCCTGGTCATCCTTTACAGGCCAGATTTTATGGCCCTTATGAAATTGAAAGCAAGATCAGTGATGTAAACTATGTAGTTAAGACACCAGGTCGACGTAAAGAGAAACCGAAATTCTGTAAAACCAGTTTCCACTTTAGCCAATGCTAAGACTGTTCAAAATTATATTGAAAGTGATACGAGTGTAGAAATGAATGAGAAAGATTGTAATCAGAGTGGTCGTTTGAAAAACTCAGAAATTTTGGCTGATTTTGATGCCAAACTTGGACATTTGAACATTCACCAAAAAGAACAAGTTAAAAACTTGATGAATGAGTATCATCAAATCTTCTCGGATGTTCCAAAGAAAACTAATGCAGCTTGTCATGATGTTATAGTTGGTGACGCTCTGCCTATCAAACAACATCCATACCGTCTGAATCCAATAAAATTGCAGTACCTAAGAAGGGAAGTGCAGTACATGTTGGACAATGACATTGTTGAACCTAGTAAAAGTGATTGGAGCTCACCGTGTATTCTTGTACCAAAACAGGACGGTTCTTACCGATTGTGTACAGACTTTAGAAAGGTGAATTCTGTTACCAAAACTGATTCATATCCAATACCTAGAATCGATGACTGTATTGACAACATTGGAAATGCGAAATTTGTCAGTAAATTTGACCTGTTGAAAGGCTACTGGCAAGTGCCGTTAACAGAAAGAGCAAAAGAAATATCTGCTTTTGCTACACCAG